GGGGAAGCAGCCCTGAATCCCTGCGCGTGGCTCTTTATTAAAGAAACTTTATTATTTCCATCCATCCATGCCTGCTCAGTAAGTCTGCGTTACTGTTGACCCAGCCGGCAGCATTGCTGGTGAGCAGCCGGAGAGAAACACCGTCAGGATAATGGATTAGGCCCACAGCAGGACACACAGCTGCATCACGGCATGATTGTAATGCAGGAGACTTCTCAGGGAAACCTTGGGACGACGATTAGCTTGGAAGCAAATCACAGCTTGTCTACCCTGCGGGAGATGTCTAATGGGGGAAATGATTCAACCTGTGTGTCAGGCAATAGGATCCCACGCTGCGAGGAGAGGGCGCTGGTCATTTCTACCTGCACGAAGTTAATTGTGAACATGTGAAAACATGATGCAGGAAGGTGACATGTAGAGGTTCTTGTGTTTTTATTACGCAAAAGTCATTTGAGGAGGTGTGATTTGGGTGTGGACACCACCTGTCCTTGTTGTGGACGTTAGCCTGGTTTTAATTGTTGCACAGACGGACCTGCAGCAGGCGTACCTGGTAATGTGACCGGCCCTGCGGCTGTCTGTCAGCATCGTGCCTCTGAAAGCCTCAGTCACAACTATTTGGCTATGCAGCACATAATTCAGAGCTCCAGTATACAGACGTCTGCTCAGTCCAGTCATCCATCAGAGCACTTTTTGCCGAGTCAGCAGATTCTCGTGGCAGTGGGCAGTTGGGGGAAAGGCCTCTCAGGTTCTGTTTCAGCATCGGGAGAGTGTGTGTATTTCTCTGTGTGCGTGCAGCCTGGGAGAGTTTGGATTTTCACTGGGTGTAAAGTATAGCCCTTAACAGCAGCAGTAAACCATGTCACAGGCCGATATAGCCATCCATACCACCAGCACTCCTGATTGTTCCAACATGTGAAAACTCAGCTGGGATACTTTATCTACTTAAGTGATTGTTAAAGGAGTACTTCACCTGCCAAATGGCTTATTTGTATATCAATTACTCACCCTGTGTTACATTGAAAGAAAGAGTTTGTTTTTCTCGCATGCCTCTGCTGTGAGCGAAGAATCCAAAATGGAGAAAATTCTTGACTAAGTCATAGGGGATCGCATTTAACAACAGCAAAACTATATCAACACATCCGTTTACAAACTCTCAAACAACTCTTGCTGTATAATTCAAATCTCATTTATCCAGTCGTATGCTAAGTACTTCCCAAACACATGCATTTTCATAAAATCTTTACTATTTAAAACACTTTTCCACAAAATAGCACAGGTGCACTACTCATCTGGGAGTGAGACTGTTATGCAGAAGTGTTTTAAACACTAATGTCTTAGCAAAAATTCACGTTTGGGAAGTACTGAGGATACGACTGGATAAATAAGTTGTGCCTGTAAATGGACATTTTGTTATAGTTTTGCTGTTGTTTAACATGGCCCCTTTACTTCAAATCATCAAGAATTTTTTGTTCACCGAAAAACAACGTTTTCTTGCCTAATTCAACATAACAAGGGGTGAGTAATTCATATAAAAATTGTCATGTTGTGGGTGAAGTACTGGAAATTCATTCATTAATTCATTTTCCGTAACCGCTTATCCTGTTGGTGGTCACGGGGGGGTGGAACCTATCCCAGCTGCCAATGGGCGAGAGGCGAGGTACACCCTGGACAGGTCACCAGACTACATTCACACTCACATTGACACCTACGGTCAATTTAGAGTCACCAGACTGTGGGAGGAAGCCGGAGTACCCAGAGAAAACCCACGCTGACACAGGGAGAACATGCAAACTCTGCACAGAAGGGCTCCCTCACCCTGGGTTCGAACCAGGAACCCTCTTGCTGTAAGGCAACAATGCTAACCACTGCACCACCGAAAAATAAAATGACAAAAAAACAAACAAACAAAACAAAAAAAAAAAAAACATTAAACTAAAATCTTGTTCATATCCACAGGGAGGCCAGAGGTCAAGCTCAGCTCCAGAGATGCATCACTGGATCTCTGAATTGATAAAGATTTTGCGTTTTGCTCGAGGACGCTACAGCTAGATGAAATCTTTAAATCTAGCACTCCATCCTAGAACTTTCTCTTCTCCTGGGCTGCACAGGGTGTACACAAATGGTCATTTGCAGGGTGAAGCATTCCTTTGACTGTTTTATTCGCAGCCTGGTCTGGAAACTTCCCAACACAGCCTCATTTTTGACTCATCTGACAAAGTCTGTCTACTCGCCTACCTACAATCCCCAGGAAAACAAACTTGGAAGACAAAGAAGAGCAGCAAATATCCACATTTGAGAAGCTTGAACAAGGGAACTGTTGATTTTATTCATGACTAAAACCATGACTTGGTTATTTAAATTGTTTCAGATGAATTTTCTCCAAATGACCCATCGATAAATTGACTAATCCTGTCAGATGTAATTCCAGTAAAAGCAGCATGACATCAACTATCAAAGACCCTAGCTAGTGCTGAAAGGTTGTTTGTGAACGGATTAGTCAGTCAGCATAAAATGAATAACTAACCAACCTGATAACTAAATCAAGCAAAAATGTAAAAGGCTTAAAAGATTAGCCAATTGAATGACAGATAATAAAAGTGGAAATACACAAGTTTATATAATAACTCATCATTATAAAGTAAATGTTGATTGCACAATGTATCAGCTATACAAAAATGACACCGTCAGCATTTAGACTGGTTCCCTAACATTTTCACAACGCAATTCTGTCTGCCACAGAGAAAATGATATCAAAATGATAGCACGATTTACAACAAAAAGGAAGTGTGTTAACTATTGAGCAATCAAGACAGGAAGAGGGTAGCATTTTTTGTCTTCCCCAGTAGCTAGCCATCCCCAGGTTGTTTGCCTGTAATATGGAACAATTTTGACCATCAACATTGTATATTTATATCTGTTTTATGGCACCAAGGGCTAATCAAGGCTGTGACTAATGATTATTTTCCTTACAGATCATTCTGCTGATTATTTCCTTAATTAATTGTTAGCTCTGCAAACCATCGTAATTTTCCTAAAAGCCTAAGTGATGTCATCAAATGTCATGTTTAATTTGACCGACAGTCTACTATTCAATGGTTACCACTATAAATAAAAGAAGAAACAGCAAATTTTCCCATTTGAAACATTGGAGTGATCAAATACTGGGCATTTAGGTTGAAAATAAACTTAATTAAATCATTGATCAGAGTAGTTGCCTGTTAATTTTCTGTTGATGGACTTATCGATTAATCAACTAATAACTGCAACTCTAATTTAATCTATTTAGTTTGGGTTTTAGATAGCTGGTCGGGGATAAATAAAGCTACCTGAAGACTTCACCCACAGCTCTGGGACAGCTCTGACTAACAAAGACTCAACATATGGATCAATAATGACAATAATCACTAGTTACAGGCATGATTCACACACACACAGGTGTTTTCACTTATTTGGCTAATTAGACCTCTTCTCATAACCGTGTGGGTCTGTACAGATTGTGCTCGACTGGCAGCTCCCCGGCTCTCCTGCACCTTTATCACCCTTATAAATATATAGACCTTGCTGATCTCATATTTCCCAGCATGGATACACCCAACATCACCCTGAGCAGAGGTGTCATTTGCCAGAATGACACTTGTGTGGGTGTGCAGGGCTTTTTTTAAAACAAGCGCTAGTTAAAATGTAATAGGCCTTTCCACAGCAGACGTTCCCACTTGTCATAGCACAGGTGTTACTAATAAAAGTAACCATGTCTTTGCCCCATTAAGTGTCCCTGTAAGCAATTTGAATGAACCAGCATGCACAACACGAGGACACTGGAAGTGCCTCACCTAAATGGAATTCACTGCAGTCATTTTTAACATTATTGATCACACCTGTGCTTTGCTGTGTCAAAATGTCTGCCGCGAAAACGTTAGCTGCCTCTCTTCGGTGCCAGGCTCCCACTCTCATCAAACCATACGAGAGGTGGTGTTTGAACCCCTGAGGTACTCTGGCTGCACCCTCGGATTGTCTGCACTGCTCTGCTGTTCCTTAAAAAAAAATCCCCACAGTGGAGGCACCAGAGAGATAATCCTGCAATGTCCCAGATCTTTATTGGGAGTGAGCCCCTGATGGGAGCTTGCAATGAGATTTTGAACGCAGCGCCGGCCACGTTTCAATCAGTGGAGAGAGCTTGGGAAAGGGGCAGCAGAGGATTTGCAGCAGGGTGGTGGCGTCCCCATGCATGCCGAATATAACTTACACTTGCTTTGAGCTAAAAGAGGCTAAAAGAGGATTCCTGTTAGTCCTAAGAGCCTTGCAGTACACTGTGTGTTCATCACTGACCATCCCACCTTTCAGTCTGACTCCAGAATCACCAGCTCCAGTACTGCATGTCCTATATTTCCAAATTAGCTGTGCAACTATGCAACTATTTTGCACAGTTTTCAAGCAGAAATGACAAACATGCTTCAAATCCAGCTTCTCAGATGTAAACATTTGCTGCTGGTTGCAAAGACAAACACATCATCTTGGGCTTTAGAAAACTCTGATAGGCAATTTTAAATATTTTCTGACATTGCATTGCATCCAGAAAATAACTGTCAGACTTAACAATAAGGAAAACAACTGTTCTGAAGCATGAAGTATACGAACACACACTCACTCACTGTCACAGGGGCAACAGGCTGAAGTTAGCAGCACCTCCTCAGTCTCACAATGCATTGCACACATTAGGATCAAAGGCAAACAATATTTGTAGGGATTAAAATCATGCAAATATTCACACTGAGCATGCAAAGTTCAGTAGATCAGCTCCCAGATAATTAAGGATTGCATGACTGTGTGCCATTGTCTGAACCATGTACATGATGAAGTGCGGCTCTCTCTACACACTGACCCAATTGCACAGATCTACAGTGACCCATGAGAGACCTCACACCCAGCCTCACACCCAGCCTGCACACCCAGCCGGGGTGTTGTGATAGGATCGAGATCGGGCTGCAGCCCCTTGAACTTACCGAGCTTCCCGCGGGACTCCTCCAGCTTCTGGATCTGGTTCTCCAGGAAGAACATGGCCACTGCGAACGCCAGCAGCGCCAGAAGCTGCAACTTGGGCGGCATCATGACTCTGAGCAGCCCCATCAAATCATCCAGAGAGGGATTTGGTCAGTCCATGCTCAGAGGAGGAGACACTGAAAACACACACAGAGAGCGACGACGGTGGTTACGAAGCGGCTGAGTGTCTGAGCATGGCCCTCTCTCCCTCTATGTGTGTGTGTGTGTGTGTGTGTGTGTGTGTGTGTGTGGATATCTCCCAGTGTTCAAATCCTCTGGTTACCTCAAATGCGATGTGTGCATGCTCGGCTGGGTTATTTCATCAACTCATGTCCCAATAGCGGTGCGTCGTAAAGCTCTAGAGATTTCTCCAGAGTGTGAATTGCTCTCTCCGGGGTGTAGGAGCGGAGGTACCAGCCGCGGTCGCCTGCGTCCCCCATGTAGCGCTGTCCTGTCCCATCCAGTGTGTGTCCACCACCGCACCACGGACAGTATATTACTACCACTCAGACCATTGGATGTATCAACAGTCCACCACAAGGCTAACGCTTTCTATTCGTCGAAAATCTCTGTCTCTTCAAACCGGATTGGACAATTTTCACAAAATGCCTGAACTTGGACGAAAGATGGCGCACTTGTTTTCGGACCGCGATAAAATCAGAGGCGAAGAAGAAATTTTGAGTCGACCTCGGAATATGCCTAAACGTAAGAAACATACGATACGATTAAATTCTCATAAAGTACTCAAATAATTTTAGACATATTAATTTGACTTCTATTACCGATGTTGTGTGAGTAAGGGCCGACGAATTAAAAAAAACAAAAATTTCAGAAATGAAGTTTAACGGTCAGGCGCGACGGGGCAGCCCTCCAGTAAATAAAGGGGTCCTCACAGTAGTTTCTGCTAACAAAGCAGGCTCTAAAATGTCGGGAGAGGTGTATCTCCTGTGGCTTCTCTCGCTTATACAAACGGTGAGTTTATTAACAATGAGAATTAGCATTTTTCGCCACTTGTAGTAGTGATATATAGTAAATATAAGCGGTTGGCGAAGCTGTCAGGTGTCATGTTCAGTTTTATGAGCCGCATCCTGCTGAGCCCGGAGCTCCAAAATGACGTGGCTTATCCTCAAAACCTATGAGCCCTGATGGGGAAGTGAAGCATCCTCACTGTCTTTCAGTTAATTCATTGTATTTTACAATTTTTTTAACCAATTGGTATGTCGAACCGTGTGTTTTGGAAGAAAAAGACAATTATAAATTGACTTCCGGTTTTCTGTATGTGCCTTTTCCTGACAGAATCTGTTCCCTGCTCAGTAAAATGAGCCCTAAACGCCTGTAGCCACTTTATTTCAAGCTTAAATTATAAGGTAAACATATTGACAAGGAGAGAGTGGATGTTTCCACACAGATAAAGCCAAATAGGGGACCTTTTTATGGTGAAATCAAACCTGAGAGGACGCTGGTTTTCTGAATGCTGAAAGCGAAAGCAGATTTCTAAAGTCTGTCAGGTAGTCTTTTGTTTGTCAAGGAAAATCTGACAAAACAAGCAAAGTCCTGTCTTATTCATAATGACACTGGAGCATTTTTACTACAGTTCTGCTCTTAGTTTCAAGCAGCAAAGAGGATGGACATCTTATTAATTAGCCTGCCTGTTTATCCACATTCCTACCAGACAATCAAATCTCTTGTACCAATGAACTGTGCTGAAATTATTTATAATGATGGATGACAAGTCAGTCAGCAGGTTAACTGAGTCTCTTCTTCTTATTTAATAAATCATTTTTCTAAATCATATATCATAAAATGAAAATGCAAAACATTTCTTGATTACAGTTCCTGTCCTCATCACAAATCAAATTAATGCTTTGTCCTTTTTGTCTGTCGGTCCCATTACTTAAGTAATCTTAAGCTGTTACTAAGGGATTATACTTATGATTAATTCAGTACACATTTTGTAGCTCACAGATGATGATATTGCAGTTTAGCACTGATGTCCTGTAGGCAGAAAAAGAATAATTGGTTCTACAGTACACTGAAGTTGTCTTTATTATTTACAATTATTAAAAATAAGACACATCATGCTCACTCACAACTATACCTTTAAGACTGGGTGCTGAATCCTTTATGTAGTAAAGCAATGACATTGCCCAAATACACTAGAAAGAAGGGTGTCTTGCCTTACACGTCCGTGTGTCTATAAAAAATTCAAATTGGAGTGCTGTCCTGAGCTTAACTTCAATTTAGAATTATTCCCAGCATTACATACAAGTCACATGGTTCTCATCTGTCTTTGTTTCAGGATTTTATTCGACAATCTCAGACTTTTTTATCAGTAACATAATGCTTTTTTATCCTCACACATCTGCACATGCAATTTACTTTGCCTTTTATTTTTTTCCTCTCATTGTGATTGTCATCTCCCTTCTTCCTTTTTCCAGCTGTCGGCATACGGTGCCGATCTGTCATCTGAGGCATGCAGGGAGCTGGGCTTCTCCAGCAACCTGCTGTGCAGCTCCTGTGACCTGCTCGGGGAGTTCAGCCTCACCAAGCTCCAGCCCGATTGCCGGCAGTGCTGCCAGCAGGAGGCCCAGATGGAAGCGCGCAAGGTAAAGGGAACAACAGAGCTCCAGGGAACAGGCAAACAGAAAGTAATTGCCTGTCTGGAGTCAGTCACAGCGAGGAGGGTGTTACAAAGACAGCAATGAGAATGAAGTGTAACTAGAAACAAGGTTAACAAGTGTGCATGCAGTAAAATGGTCAAATGGAAGGTGCTCATTGTCCATTTGAGCTGTACGACTGAGTCATGACAAAGTTGATGATGCATTTTACTGAGCTTCACAGATGACGGGCTCCTCAGTAGTAGCACTCGAGGACCTGCTTGTCAGAGTGTGTCACATTTATTGACAGGATCACAACCTCCAGCTTTTGACCTGCTACTAAAAACGGCCTGGTTTTAGCCTCCCTGTCACTGGGTCTGTTGACACTGTTTGCAGCTGTGCATCAGATCTGAGCTGCCACACACAAACCCTGTCAGTAGCTGTCTGTCTCAGTGTTTCCCTCTGATTTTCAAAGTTGAGGCTCCTTAACCCCAGCCTGACACTCCCCATGGGGTGGAAATATCAAGTTTTGCAGTAACAGCCTCTCAGTAACCAGCGAGGAGGTGTTACTGTGCGCTCATTGCTCCGGTGATTACAGCAAATTCAAAAGGAGTCCCTGCTGGGCTCTGACGGATAAACACTGAGTCAAGTGATGGTGGAAAAACAATGTAATTCTTCTTTGATTAAGCAAAGCCCCTAGAGCGTGTGTGGTATCCTAGCAACAGCACCTTGGGAAAGTGTAGTGCACACCTCATTACACCTCTTGATGATAACTCTGTTTCAGACAGACACTTAGAGGAAAGATTAGTCCTCTTCCTCCTCACGATTTGAGTGAAAATGTCACTTAGAAGAGCAATCGGCTGTCTCCAGCCGCACTGAGGGTACCGGCAGAAACGACAGTGTCACTAAGCACATTTTCTCCTCAGACAGTAACAATTATCTGCCTTAAGAATTCTTTCAGTCTCGCAATTGACATCAGTGCCGTGTCATTAAACCCTCTGAGAAATGGCTTATTGCGCAGCCTTGTCGATTAGTAAGATTCACTGCGCATGGAGGGCATTTCAGTTACTCATTTTCAAATGTGTTCTCCTCTGCAGAGCACCCCGTGCATAGCAGCGCCTCAGCTCCCCTGGGTGCCACTACACAGTATGTCTCTGTAGAGCAAGAAAATCTTCCTGAGAGTCTCTCAGGCTAGTACAGATAGAAAAAACACAAGGAGCCTTGATTTCAGGCCTTTCAAGCTTAACCGGGTGGATTTGGCGACACTATATTTTTCTTATTGTTAATAAATCATGTGAAAAGTCCGAAACTGACAATAAACTTATCCTACTTGCAAGTATTGCCTGTGTGGCCTGGCACAAGAGCTCCGTGGCTGAAAAGAGTCCCTAACAAATGCACTAGTTCCTCCTGCAGGGTGTCTTTATGTCTTCAGTTAAACTTTTGAAAATATTAGGCTTTAAAGGTCATCAAATATTCTTAATTCTGAATTTCTTTTGATGTCTTTTTGTCAAAATGATTCAAACTTTTTGGGGTAAAAGTCCACATTTCTGGTGTTACAAATCTTTGAACCTATCACTGAACCTAATACTGTCTTTTTACTTTAGATTTGCACTTACCTGTCAGCAAAATGTAGATTAATCTGACTCACTCTAATAACCATATTCCTTTCTGAAACCTATCTCTGCAGGTGACCACATAAAGGCAATGTCTGAATAAGAAAAAGATGATTTATCTCAAAAATAAGTTCTAAATTTGGCCACAAATTACTTTAAATGGGTCCTAAGCTACAGTGCCCTGCTTATTTAGCCTTGTTTAAAAGATGAAACTCTTTATTTGTGGCCTGTTTTTTTTTTTTTTTTTTTTTTTTTTTCCCCCCCCAGATTTGCATCTTTAGTAGGAACCAGTTGGTTTGGTGCTGAGGGCCGCCTGCCCACAGGCTGGGGATTTCAGAAAGTACTGAGAGACAGACCAACTCATTGTTAGTTTAGATGTTTTCATGTCAACAATAAGAGAAAATATAATATCGCCAGCCTTATCCTTTCATCGTGACTGGCACCAAAATTGTTGTTTTACGAGTTGGGAGGCTTACAGAGTAATTACGTGGTCTTTTTGAAGAACTTGCTGTCGAATCATCCAGAATAATCCCCAATTAAGGGAGAGCAAACCGACATCTTTTAATGTTGTCGTCTTCTCTTTGGTTTTATGTCGCATATCCTAGTCAAACTTAAAGGCACAGTTCACACCTAGATCAAAGATACATATTTTTGGGTCTCATTTATAAACATTGCGTACCTACAAAGCCAGGGCCGAAAGAGGCGTGCCCCACTTCCCACGGATAAGTTATGATCTATAAAAAGAGACTTGATGGGAGAGACTTTGACCCATGCTTACGAACATTTTGGAGACGGGAAATTGGCGACGCAGATGGTGAGGTAGAAGCCTGATTGTAGCTATTGTTAAATAATTTTTGGCACACGTAATTTTTGGCTTTTGTCCGTATGTCCATTTTTGGTATGGATCCTAGCTCATCTAGCACCACTGAGCTAGCTAACGTAACAGCTCAGTCAACAAGGACGCCATTAATGTTTAAATCTCATACTGTCTCAAGCATGTGCCTCTCGTCCATGAGTAGATGCACGCTTCCTTCTGCATGGTGATTCGGTTGATAAAAAGCACTGGAGTTATGAAGGAAATATCTATTTTTGATTGATATTGATTTCCCTTTAAAATGACAAAACATGTTGATTATATTTGACCAGGACTTGTTTATTTTTCTTCTTGTTAACCTTTAGTTGTGTCTGTTGGCTAATTCTTTTTTCGACAATACGACATCATGTATAAATATCATCATTTTAATTTTTAGGCTACAGTGAGCATATTGTGTCTCTGCCTGACGGGTTGTTCGAGCACTTAGAAGTAAGATAAAGAGAAAACATGGAGAGTAATTGAGAAAGTATTATTTTTCACGCTTGCTTTCGCTTTTGAAGCCCCTGATAGAGGCTGACAGCATTTTGAAATGCTAAGATGCTCCAGTGAGTCCAGTTAGAGCGGCCTATCATTTGTTTCTTAGTTTCCTGCTATCAACAGAGTCGTGACTCATCTCTGATCTGCGATGTGTGGTAAAATGAAAAGCGCAGAAATTTAATTTCAGCTGCGCTGGATTGTTTACAGAAAGACAGGGCGAAGGGAGGAAGAAGAGAGGATCTTAGCTTTGCATGCGTAATTTAATTTGCCATGTGAACCAGCCAACCAGGCCATTTACCACTCTCCTCCCTGAAACGGTGAGCAGAGCGTGGTCTTGAAATACTGCCGTGACACTCCAATTTCCTCTAACTTATTGTATATTGGTGCTGGAGGTTTGATTACAAGTGAGCCCTGCACAAACCATCATCCATCAGCCCTGCTCCATATGCACAGCCTCACAGTTTAATGACCCCCAAGGAGTCGCCTGGACACGTTTATGAATAAGTCTGCCTGAATCAAATTACTCCTCCAGGCCACGCGTCCTACCACCAGCAGGGCCACAGCTTGTTCTGTCTCTGTGTGTGGGCATTGATGTGTGTGGGGGGAAAAAAAACTCCTCGTGGATGGACTGCCTTACATTGTGTCTCTCTGCACACAGCTCTATGCTGGAGCCATCCTCGAGGTGTGTGGATGAAAATTGGGGAGGTTCCCTCAAGTCCAAGGTGAGTTCTCTGCTACGACATTTTACTCTGATATAGGGCAGGGCCATAAATCAGTTTTACTCAATGTATCACGGCTTGCTCCATGTGGGATATATGAAACGACTATATTGCAAACATCAAGTTTAAATTGTCATGTCTTTTTTTTTTTTTTTAAGCCACTGACGTCAGACTCAGAAAAATGAAAAATGAAATGGTCAAATATAATACGTAACACACACTCCATTTCCATCTAGACTACTGTCTCCTTGTACTTAGCAGAGGTGTGTTTATTTGTATCTGCAGGGCTCCATACCACGACCATTTAGCTGATTTTTCTACCATGGAGCACCAGTGTGACTTACAAATATTATCAATATATGAACTGGAGAGCTGTTAATTTGTTTCAATCTCCCAGTGAATAAATTCTCATGTTAAACAGTGCCGCTGTAACGGTTTAACTTTCTGCTAACAGCTAGCTGTTGCCTGGAAGCTTCAAGTTCACAGCAAAAACATCAACACTTTGGGCTGAGCCGAGCCGAGCCGAGTGCTTCAACGTTAAAGCCCCAGTGGTTTCACTTTGATTAATTATTACATTATGATAATAATTGACTTTATTATAACTGTTTTATTTAACATTATTATAACTGTACTTCATTTAACTTTATTATAACAATACTTAACATTATTATTACAGTACTTTGTTTAGCTTAATTATAACAGTACTTAATTTAATTTTATTATATTTTGATATACAAGATTTTGTTTAAATTTATTGTAACTGTACTATATAACAATAACTCATTTTAATTTATTATAACCTTTCTTTATTTAAATTTATTATAACTACTAGTACTTTAACTAACAGTACATCATTTAACTTTACTAAAACAGCAATTTAACTTTATTTAAACAGTGCCTAATTTACTTAACTTTTTTTTACTTTGTTAAACAATACTTTGTTCAAATTTAACGTAACTCTACTATATAACAAAAACTCATTTTAATTTTTTAGAACTGTACTTTGTTTAAATTTATTATAACTACTCTTACTTTATTTAATTTCATTATAACTGAACTGTATTTCACTTTACTTTGACAGTGTTTTATTTACCTTTATTGCAACAGTATTTCATTAAACTTTACTAAAACAGTACTTTATTTAACTTACCGGTAATTGTAACAGTACTTTATTTAACTTTACTATAACAGTACTTTTACATAACTTAATTATAACAGTAGTTTATTTAGTAGTTTAGAATTTTAGTGGTCAACAGTAGTTTAGATGAGATTTCAAAATATTGAGAGATATACTGTGTATCGCGATATGACCTAAAAATATCACGATATTATTTATAGGCCATATCGTCCAGCCCTACTCTTATTTATTGCACTGTTTTTGCTCTGTCCAGCAGCTGAGCTCGTGCTTTGTGTAATTGTCAGTGTTAATGTGTGAAATAAATCCGCCTGAAATCACTTTCTGCAGTAGGTGGTCTAAAATGCCTGAGGGCTGATTTTCAAACAAGCTTTTGAAGTTTTTTTATCCTTTTGTGTCTTGGGAGTGGACCTCCCATCTCTGCTCAGTGTAACATTTGGTTAATTCAGAGTCAGGTTACGTTGATGGAGTTACTGCAGCTCGCCTCAGTGTGGGGGTAGACGTCTGGAGCCCTGTCTGCGCCATATGGCTGCCGTTTGTTTACTTCAGCTGTAGCTGTCCTGTGTTCGCAACTGTCTCGGCTGCTGTTAACACTGCATTCCCAGGAGGCTTTGCAGTTGTCAGTAATTACAGACCTCCGTACGAAAATAGAAAGGCTAATTGACTGATTCATTACCAGACATTTGTCTCACTGCTGTTTTATCTCCTCAGCTTTTGTCAGGAGCGAAAAGCCGAAGATGTTCAAGGGTCTTCAGATCAAGGTGGGCACGATGAACTGTGTGCCAGCGTGACAGCTGATTTGATCTCATAATTAGACACATTAATCTTCAAAAATATCAGCTTATGTCAATCAGATGACTCACAAACATTTCTCTGAATATCTTTACCAAGGGCAAACCTGTCTTCCTAACACCCCTCCTCTTTTTCTCTCATTCCCACTCCCACACTGCAGTACGTGAGAGGCTCAGATCCTGTACTAAAGCTTTTGGACGATAACGGGAACATCGCTGAAGAACTCAGCATCCTCAAGTGGAACACAGACAGCGTGGAGGAGTTCCTGAGTGAGAAATTAGACCGGATATAGACAACGTGTATGTTTTTGTTTTTAGTCTTTAGTTGAAGGGTCTGCTCACCCAAATTACGATACCTCTGGCGGTGTGTCGCCATGCAGACACTTTGTGTTTTATGTGCCTGAGATTTCTGCGTCCACCTGCAGGTTAATGGAGTTTTGTTTGTGGCACTCGCAGCACTGATACATGACATTTAAAGAAGTCAACAGCAACTGTGTCCTAGTCTCTGTAGATTAACACACTGACTACGTTACATGCACAAAACTTTTCGGATTTCCACTTATTCCAAAAAAAACCAATATATTCCTACTAAGCAGTTTACATGGCTAATGAAAATGAATATTCTACTAGTATTCCTGTTAACACGTAGCTGTGCATACTCCGATTAACATGCCCTAACATGTCAATTATCATGTCAAAAAATGGAAAAGTGGAACGGCTTTTCACTGATGGAGGACTTGATCAACCTGCATATCCTGCTTCTCTCATTCCTTCAACTACGTTCTTTAAGGTTGACATTGTGATTTTTGCGTGTATATGACAACCTGTTGATATCCATGTCTTTCAGACCGTTTAAAAGTAGGTGCGTTTCTCCGTCTGACCAGCAAGGTGGGCTTTTCTTTTAGGCGTGCATCTCTACTCCACAGCCTTGCAAACTGTTGGCAAGTTGGTTTGTGTACAGCGTATTCCTGACAACGCAGAGCTGAGCGTAAACAGGCAAGAGGCCGTGTGACGTTAACTGCGGTAAAAAGCACAAATAAGACCCAGATTCTGAACGCACTGTATACATGTCCAAAGATATCCCACACGTCTTAATCGGAAAATGCTAAATTCAGAAAATCCAAACAGAATATGGTGTTCACATGACCTGCATCAAATTCAAGCCATATTCAGAATAATAGTGGAATATAAGTGTGCATGTAAATGTTGTCACTGTCAAAGGTTTGCATTTGCAACGACTGCAACAAGAGGTAGCTGTAAATCACATTTGAGCACCACAAGCAAAAACACCTCTGTTGTATTTAGGCTGCGACAGAAATCCAAAGAGACCTCTTGAAGATCTTTTAAAAACTTGAGCCAATTAAACAAAAACTATCTGCACGGCTACGAACCACAGGGGTCTGCTGAGAAAATGATTTTTTTATAATTTGGATGGACCGACTCTTTTAGTTCTTTACCAATTTGTACACAACTTGGCCTTGATACATGGTTGTTAAATCACTATTTGACTGTTTTTGTATCTGAAAAATCAATTTCCCAGACGGGCAGCACGGCCGATATAACGATGAACATTACAGATAATTGTGGCTCAGAGTGGATCCATTAGGTTTGAAAAACAATAATGCACATCAAGAACTGTTTTGTTGTCTACCTGTGGGAGTTTACGTTCCCCCTCTCGTCTGTCGGATATTCTTGTATGATTATTATTTTTTTATAATGCTCAACATTGTGACTGATGGGGTTTGTAGTAAGAGTGAATCCTAGTTTCTCTCCAGATGCGACGTCTTTGCCGGAGCACACGTCAGTGAAGACGTCACAGTAAACCAATGCTGGGATGTGACGTCTGATGTAAATCTGTGTGTTTCGGTATCGTCTGCTTTGAGGAGAAACTGGATTTATTTTGGATGATTGTTTTCGAGCGAGTGAGGTGACAGTTTAAATATGCAACAATAAACAAACTCTGATGGTTTTTTTCTGTCAATAGTTTTTTTTTTTGGGGGGGGGGGTTCTAATGGAAAATCAATGTGTGTGAAATCATCTTTGTTGCTGTGCTGCAGATGATCTCAGGCTGAGCTCATACCAATATGAAACCACATACATCAATATGTTGACATCTACTGGTCTGAAACGGCATTGCAGCTCAGAGCTGGGACAGGTGGGCAACCTGTGCTCCTCATCTCCTCTCTCCTCTTTCCTCCTGCCTGTGACTTAGGGTGCTTTTCATCATGCTAACTTGTGCTTCCTCACCTCATCTTCCCTCCTGTGACCCACAAATTGTTCCCCCTATGTCATGATGGAGGATCTTCCTTCCTCTAAAGGCACCTTGAGGACATGAGGAGAGAGGCTTCTGGAGGAGCTTAGAGAGAGGAAACACAGGTGCATCCTACCTGTAAGTCTTTTTATAAGTGACATGACTACTGAGCCACCCAAGGGTCCTGGTGAGATATTTTCTTTTGCATTTGGGCATGTATAAAGTCTACACCAAGACATGATTTCATATTTGCACAGTTTAGTCTCACAGCCTTTAACTTGTAGTGTCACATATAAGGGACAGAGTTACATGGTCAAGTGTAATTTACAGAATAAGGTTTTCAGTCTGACAAGTTATACACTAGAGCAGCATGTCATAAGTAACTGATATTATGGAACTGAGGATTTTCTCATTTGGCAGCTTTGGCTCCTCCGTCCTCGCATTTCACCTCCTTCGCTTGCTTCTCTCATGGGTGGGACTAAGATGTGAGGAAAGGAAGCCAGTGAGGGAAGCGAGGAGACATGTTAGCATGATGATATACACCCTCAAAATGTATCTCAGGGCGCCATCTATAAGGATGTCTCAATTCCTAAAATGCATCCCACAGAAAGAGGAGGCTTGCCGGAGGAGCTGTGAGTTAGGATGCACAGGTGTATCCACTACGGGAGTCTTTTCAGCAACCGTGGCATGTAACAGAAGTGTGACAGACAGCTGAAGGTGCAGCTGTGTGTCACACGCCATTTTTAATATAAATCATCACTTTAAAACGACGACTCCAAAGCACAGATGTCTAGTTTTGTTAAATACCAGTTGCCTCCTCTTTTCTTGTGTCTCTCCCTGGCCGCGTCTCAGGTGGGAGGGACTAAGATGTGAGGAGAGGAGGCGAGGAAAGGAGTGAAATGAGAAAAGGCTCTTGCCTGTTGGTGTACAAAAGGAGTAAGAAAACAGGACTAGTAAGTTTGGTCAATCGAACTTGTAATATAGCTCTAAAGTGTCAAAACTTACCTTAAACTATATCTCTAGAGCTTATATAGGATGCCAATATCTATATTTGTGGGTAAAACACTTTTCCCTTTTCAGTGGTAAAAACTATATTTATTTATGCTCACCACTTTTACAATTTCCTCACGTAATTACAGTCCAGACTTTGCTGTCCCTATGTTTCCTTATCAGGTATTTGCTGAAAGGCAGTGGTAGAAAAAGTATTTGGATCCTGAGAGAAAAGTTCAATATTAACCTCTGAGATGCAGTGGAGTAGAAGAGTAAAGTTGCATAAAATGGAAAGTAAAGTACATGAATTTGTACTTAAGTATGTGTACTGCTGAAAGGGAGAGGAACCAGAATCTGTCTCATTGTCCATTTCCAGTGCAGGAAGATAAAGCATGAGATTGCAGGATAGATTACAGGAATACTGTGTATAATGTATCACTTGAAGAGACACACTGGCCTGGCACACTGGTCTCTAGTTTCTCCTGTTGTTTTATCATACAGCTATCAGTTTTATAAACAAAGGGCAGCAGTGCAACATCTGATGGTACCTTGCATGTCAACAGGAAAACATGCAGGTGGAAGTTGTTACAATACAGCAGGTCATTACGCAGGTATAAGTATCCTTGAGCAAGATACCAAGGGTGCCCACTAGGTAGAGCAGGTGCCTGGTGGTCACAGGTTTGATTCTAACCCACAGCCCTTAGCTGCATGCCATCCCCCACTTTCTCCACCCTTCACGCTGTATATGTCCTCTCTTATAAAGAGAGAAAGCCCCCAAATATATCTTTGAAAATGAGATCTTAATTGGACTTACCTCACTGAATAAAGGTGCTGCAGAGACACTATTTACATGTAATTAAATTACACAATACATGTAGTCAGTTACAGTTACTGGGAAAAAATATATATAATTAAATTACAGTTACTTATCAAAACGTTGGTAATGAAGGGGTTACATCCAAAAATATTCTCTTTGGTAAAAAGTTGATATGTAGATTAAAGCATTCATCCTGTTGTTTGGCATCTTTCAGCTGTGCAGGAATAACTTCTTTTGGCAGAGACATTTTTCAGCTTTACTGCTCAGTTTAAAACATTTGTCAGAAAAGTTACATTACTTTGATTAAGTAATTAAAATAGTTATATTACTTTCTAATATATAACCTATTACATTTAAAAATAACCTTCCCAACACTGTATGTATATGTGAATAATCAGTTGTGCATGTTATGATCTAATTCAGCATTTATATTTTCAGAGTATTCAAACACATATTTCACAAATCAGTGTTTTATTAAAATAAAAACTAAATGATTTCACAAAACTCAAGTAAAAAAGACTTCAATTACATACAGCACTTATAAATATCCAGTAACCACGGAGATGTGTATGTGAAAACTACATATTTAGCCACAACTCATTTCTGTTGGACTGCTGTTTCTGTTGTTTGTCTGTTGTTTACATAAAGAATAGATGTAGTATTTAGTGCGTATATGAGGCAACTGAAAAACAAAAAACATCCCACAAAGCCTGCTGCATGTGAACACCTACAAGCATACACAAACAAAAACTTGTAGTGCTTAGGTTACGTGCTGAAGTTACACATAATCATGGGTTTTCTTGCCCTCTGAGTGGTGATCGCTGAGCTCAGATTTGGTGCGGGGCTGAGGCTTGTAGGCGACCCCGGGGTAACTGAAAAGCAAGAGGAAAGACATGGTGTAAAGGCATCTCTACTGGGATAGTGTGTCTTCCAAAACAAGTCCACAAATATCAGTGTATGAGCAGAATGCCAGTGAAAATGTCAGTTTTATCACTATAAATCTGCAAGTGAACTCACTGTGGTTTTTCATCTTTCGCCATTTCCCTGAAAGCCAGTGACTTCAGGATGCCACCAATAAGCAGGACGCCGCCTCCAATCCAGGCTACAAACAGCGCAGGGCCGAATGTGTATCTGTTAAGACAAACAACACAAGATGTAGATCCAGCGTGGGAACAACACGGAGAATATAAGAACACAAGCAGAACAATCATCTTGCTAACCTACCTGGGAATTCCTCCTCCCATTCCTCCCATTCCTCCCATCCCTCCACCCATTCCTCCTCCCATCCCTCCACCCATGTTGTATCCTCCTCCATAGTTGTTGTAGGCAGACATCCTGAAAGTGGTCACGATCTGATTGGCGTAGATAGAAGCTCCTGCGATGCCACACAAACCTGAGGGAAGATTACGGACAGGAACGTAGTGATATATTTACTTTATAGAGAGAATATGTGCAACTCCTTAAAGGGACAGTACACCCCAAAATTTAAAACACATATTTTTCTTCTACCTGTAGAGCTGTTTATCAGTCTAGATTGTTTTGGTGGGAGTTGTTGAGCGTTAAAGATATCAGCCGAAAAATATCTGCCTACTTTCCATTATAATGAGAGTAAATGGCACTCGGCTTGTGGTGCTCAAAGTGCCAAAGAATTCATTTGAAAAACTCAACAGCAATGTCTCTTTACAGAAATCATGACCTGGTTACTCAAGCCAATCAACAGACCTTGTTGCGAGCTATTTTCTTCTTACCGAACTACACCCACCAACCGAATCACCATGGAGACAGAAGCCTGCATCTAGTCACAGACAAGAGGCTCCTTCCCATGATGGTGTGAGATGTTAACATTAATGGCATCCTCATCAGCTGAGGTGTAACTTTAGTTAGCTCAGTTGTGCTAGGTGAGCTAGCAGTAGATGCACGCTTCCTCCTGTGCAGTGATATGGTTGCTCGGAAACACTCGGAAACTCACACCAAAACAATCACTGCAGATAAGAGGAAAAAATATGTATCTTGGATTTTGGAGTGAACTGTCCCTTTAAGAACCAGAGATGTCAAAGTAAAAAAAAACGCCCTCATATTTTTGTTATTTGTGACCCTACCAGCGATGACGAACATGATGCCAGCAGCGAGGCTCATCTTGGCCTTGGTGGTGTCTGCCATGCTGTTCATTGTGAGGCAGGTGAGGGAGAAAACTGATATCAGCGTCCCGATGACACCTAGCACCACGCTCACTATCATCAGGGCTCGCACAGCCTGGAAGGTGCCTGGTGGACAGAAAACACATGCTCACAGATATATTATACTGAATCTGACATTTTATAATGTGTCTCACTCTACCAAGAAACTCTACATTGCATAATAATCTGCATCACGAGGGACATACACATCATGAATCTGACAATAACAATTATATTTTGCCTTTAGACTTAAATCTTAGTAACGTTACCAGAGGATGATGTTAGCAGATGTATTTAATCTGATAATGAGACCTGTATTCTAGGTGTGTTGTAGGAACCTGCCCTTTGCTTGTTGTTTGTTCTGTTTCTGATAACTGTGTTGACTAAGTCTCGGCCTGCCTGTCCATTATAGTGACCAGCATGCACTGCTGCTAATGAAAATACTGATAGGAGTGGGCTCGATGCCAGAACAAGAGTTAGAATGAGGACGGCAGAAACAAAGGGGGGAAAAGTGATTTTAAAACATAGCCTGTTTAAAAAATAATATTTACACTACTAGTTATGAGGAGAAGCTTTTTGTTTTTGGTTTTCCATTGTTAAATTATCCGATTTATCCTTTCAGTAGCGATAAAGTCATCACACATTTCTTTTTTCCCCACAAAATCAAAGTGTTTTAATCTCTTTTATTAACCCTTTAAAATCCTCATTTTACCTTCACAAATTCTCCTTAATTTGG